CTAATAAATGGCGAGCAAAATTTAAACCTAAAACAAAAAGGCATGTAATTTTTCATTTCGCCAAAAACTCTGTTGAAAGTTCTCCTTTGTGCCCAGCTATGTGCGTGATTTTGGTGTCGACTATATTTTGTGGTTGCAAACATGTTTTTACTATGTGAATCCAGAGATGTTGGAGTTGGCTGGGGGAGCTGTCCTGGTTGCCAATCTGTCTTCGTATCAACGTGAGATCATAGCAGATCTCAGCATGCTAGGTTAAGTAGTATTCATAATTGGTATCTCAAACACTTGCAACAGGGAATAAGTTGTCACGACAACAAGCTGTATCTGGAAAGGAAATGACGAGGGAAGAGGTAAGAAATTTATCAGACCTTGCCATGATTTTGTACAATTTGCACATGCAGAGAGAAAGGAAGACCTTTTTCTAATTACTGAAACCAATATTCACTGGGTTCATGAATAGACAGCAAACATAGTATGATATATAAGCAATGATTCAATTGGTTCTCATTTGCTTTAAACTGGGAACTCGAGTCTTTTGGAAACTTGGAACTTTTTTAGGTCACTAGCGTTAGCAGACGGTACTAGCATATTACTCAGATTGTTTTGAGTGAGGGGATGTATGAGGGTAGGCGAGTAGACAGGGAGCTGCAATAGAAAGTGAAGATGTCTCTGCGGGCTTAAGCATGCTGGAAAGCTTAAGCGTAAACGAAAACAATTTATCAAGCCACAAACCACCAAAAAAGCCATCAATTGGATTAATTACGGGTGATCAAATAGAATTTAGCCTTTGATTGGCTAGTTCGAAACCACACTCTTTGCAATAGAGTGAACAACATAGTTTCACTTTGGAGGGATTTGAAGATTTTTAGGATTCTTCCCGGTATTTCATTTCAGTACTTTCCATTATTGCATGTGGAAGTAAATTATATCTACATTAAAAAGTGAACTAGAAGAGTACTTTTTTTGCTTGGGGCGATTGAAGTCGGAGCTGGTAGTTGCGTAGGCTAAGCTTGAAGACTCGCCATAAAGACTCGCCATACTATCAAGAGCATTTGGCGGAAATTGCTCAATTGTTTGCCGAAATTTTATTGTCACCCCTTTAGCTAATAGCGTAAATATGGAAATTTCTAAAATAATTGCTCAATTCAGTCGATGTTTGCCTCAACAACCCATCTTAAACCGTTTTTTGCTTAATCCCAAACCCAAATAAATGCGATCTTTTCCTGCTTTTTTACAACTGGCCACAAATTGTTCTTTGCGTCTGAAAGCTAAACATTACAGCTATTACTCCGATAGCCAAAGGCAAATTCCGTTTCTTGAGAATTTCTCCTTACCTTTCATACGACAATACAACCGCCATTGCAGGTGTTTTTCTTATGTTGTTTCTGGGGAAGGTAAACTCGGTTCTTCTCATCGTTGAGTAGCAGTTTCTCGAGTGTGTGCCTGCTGGTAACTTTTTTGTTCTTTTATATTTTCGCCGACGTTAGATTTATCGTTTACAAAAGATGCTCTGTGCTGTCAGTCTAATCAATAGTCCAACAGATAGAAGGATTCAGTTGTCGCACTGAACTTACCTCTTCCCTTATTGATATGATGATTGTATCTCGATAATAATATTCTCACGAGCAAATAACTTGCAAGAAAACGCACTCACGTTGACTAGATTCTTTACAAATTGTCACGTTCTCATATCTGGCGACTGGCAGTTTCTCAGTGGGTAAGATAATCAGTACTGTTCAACTCAAAGAAGTTCGAAGGGATAATCTACTTTTTTTGAAAATAATTTGGACTAAGCTGATTCGCGTGAACCTAACACAAGGTGAGAGAAGGTCGGTTGCTTGTAACCGGCTCATTGCAACTTGAGGATCACTAAAAAAATTGATGTTGCAATAACCATTTACCCCAAGAAACAGAAAAGCTGGTAAAGCACGGGTCATTAACGCTGATTTGGTCCAAGGAAAAGTAATAAGAAACAATTAAATTTAGATTATAACCAAGCACCTCAGAAAACAGCCCGCTAATACAAGTAAAACAGACCAAAATGGGTCTCTGAATGGACGCATATATTCTATATTTCATAGAGGTTATTTTTTTTTTGCAATGGAAATTTTCGTTGACGTATTTTAGTGGATAATGAACATTATAATTAAAATAAAGATACCTGTTTCCCTATGATATGGCTGGAAGCAAAATGTAAAAAATGCTCAAGGTCATGGTTGCAAAAAAGTGAACTTGTCTAATTATACAAATGAAATTCATCAAACTCAAATTGAGTGAAAAATAAGCAGGGTCTTCTGAGATCAATTAAAGTACAAATGACAGAAGGAGATCAAGATAAGTCAGTTCCTGAGAAACCTAATAGACTGAAAATTCACAAGCCTTTCATGTCAAATCTCGTATTTTGACAAAACACACACGCCGACGGCAAAGATTGCAGCTTACAGATCGCTTTAGAAAACTTTGTTTGAACTTGAGGAAAACTCCGAGAAATGAAAGGTTATTGAAAACATGTTTTGGCTAAAATTTTACTTTTCTCCGGCATAACCGACGTTTGCTTTTTAATACACTTTATTCTACAATGTGATTCAATTGCTTTGCGTTCTTTGTTATTCCAAGTGAAAATTAAGATAATCTCCTGAGATATCTTTTGAGGTACTTTGCGACGCAAGATTCCTTAGCATAAATGAATTGGCGATGAAAAGCATTGAAAACATGTTTGTTACAAAAGAGAGCGAGAGTCAAACTAGAGGAGAGAGTTTGGCCTCAGTGCATTATTGCGCCCGCTTAACTGTCTTTTCTTGACTCAGAACTTGGAGGTTCGGCGCTGACGATCATTTTTTTATAGTTAAATTCGATGGACTTCTAGGGACGATCCTGGAAGTTTTCTCGTGAATTCTTTGAGGTAAATGACATAACTGGAGATCGGGATAGTATCCAGGTGCTTGGGGAAAGTAGCTTTAAATAGGATTAGGTTTAAAATCTAATGGCAACATCATGATAACAAAATAATTTGGGGTACAGTTACTACAGCACGGCTGCATTGCAGTGGAAAACATAGCTACACGAACATTGCATTTCTGAAGAATATTAATTACTGAAAATGCCGGAAGCCGGAGGCTAAAAGTTTTTAACGAAAGTGAATCACAACACGCTTGAAGAATCATTTGGGTAAATATTTTTCAACTGTTGTATATAATTTCGTTTACTATGTCAGTCATCATAGATGTTTATTTTTCATCACTATTTTTTTAGGAGCGATATTCTTCAGTAGGAGCCTTAGTGGTGTTTTTTTACATGTCTTTTTCTCCTAATACACATATAATCGATCATCGGACACAAACCGCATATACATCACTTCGTCGCCAGAAAGCTCGTGGCATTCAGAAACACTTTTGCCATAAGATGATGTTAAAATACCTCGATTCGTGAATCAGCGGGACCATTTTCAAGAAATCTCATTAAGTTGAGAAAACATATCAGACAACCAACTGAGGTGGCGGAATAAATTTTCATAGAGTATTGTCTTGTATCTAATAGACTTGTCTAATAGCATGTTCCAATTTGAATAAATATTGAACGATTTTTTCGCAAATGAAGAGGAAACATCATCAACAGTGCAAGTTTTAGCAGTAAACATGGAATATTATTTGTTGGTTCTAAATCCACTTAATAATCAGGCATACTGTTATCAGCACATATTTTTAGCGGTCCACAAAGGGCATGTTCAAGCTTTGTTCATTGTGTTTTTTTTTTAAAATAAAATGCAACTGTGAATTTTCACTCCTTTGTTGACAGTGGAAGGTCATTGGATGTTATTAGAAAAGATAAAGGAGGTTGTGATCCGTTGAATATCAGATAAGGCCTGAAGCAAAAGTTTTAGTCGGTGTAATTGAAAAAGCAACCTAGCTCTTCTTACTTCAGAGGGGAGGTCTTCATCTCTTGATGTTATCTAATGAAGTTATCCCTACAACGACGCGTTTATTTTTCAATTGGAGAAAATGAGTTTTCATCTTTAAAGTCGACTTGGGAGTCAGGTGAACGATAAAAATCTCTCTTTCTACATTTCTAAATATTTTCAAGCGGCAAAACCGTCATCAAGGCCACAAAATAATGATTGTCCTTACCAAGCTTACTAATTTCGAAATAGAGGCAAGTGGTAAAAACACCGACATCAAAATAATATATCAATTCGGAGAAATGAAAATAACGAGTTTTGTGGTCCCAGCCAAATATATATCACAAGGGCATACGATCCATTACGCATCACATTGAAGACTGCCGAGTTTTCAAAGCTGAACAGAACCAGGGAAATGAGCAGTTACTTGAAGGACTTTCCAAGCAGCCGCGTGCAGGACATAACTTGTTTTTGGAGAAATTTTTAGTCTGATCATCGAAGAGTAATCGTTCCGTTTTCGTAAATGTAGTGTTGCCCTGAAATCATCCCGACAATCGTTACCTGATATTTCTCTTTAATAGTTACCATTGTAGCATTGTGCTCCCATGATAACAACCGTAATGGTATCGTTTTACCAAAGTCAACGTCTTTCAATGATGCACTACAAGGAAAATTTAAATTAGATAAAACCTTAGAAAAAAAGTAAACAAAATCCAATGTTGTAAACAAAAAAAAATTAGCATTTCATGTAACAAAAAAAAGGTGAAGGTTGAAGATGGTGGATGATACCATGCTTTGCAATTAACTAGTTTGAATAAAGGGGTAAGTTTTTAGAGAAACTGTGGTGCTGCGTCGGTGGGAGAGTATAACAGGGTAATTTAGTGTTATCAACTGAGTTAAAAAGGTAAATTGGCCACCGTAAAGAGTTTAAAGGCTGACGTTTCGAGCGTTAACCCTTCGTCAGAGCGATTGACGAAGGGCTAACGCTCGAAACGTCAGCCTTTTTTAGTGTTATCAAATGAGTTAAAAGGTAAATTGGCCACCGTTAAGAGTTTAAAAACTCTTAACGGTGGCCAATTTACCTTTTAACTCATTTGATAACACTAATTTACCCAATTAATTAGTTTGAGACACGAAAGCTGAAATTTAGGGAGGTAAAACCCATAATGTAACAACTTTGAATTAATCCTGATTTACCTTCTGCGAACAGTCTCGCCACGTGGCCTGTTTAGTTGTTTTGTTTTGTTTGTTTTCTTTGCAGGTGTGATCACTCAGTATGAACAGGACCATGAATAAAAGCTCTAACAGCTACGACTTCAATTCAACCCAGGGAACACCAACTATGAATGGCGCCATGCCCATGTCTGAGCAGGTCACGTGGTGTGTAGCACTCGCATTGGTGGCAATAGCTATCATCGTTGGCAATTGCCTGACCATCGCAGTCTTCACTAAAAGGAAACTTCTACGCATGCGTGCCAGCTACTTTCTTGTAACGTTAGCTATTGCAGACCTCATGGTTGGCACATTTGCAGTTCCACTTTATATTCATCAGTTAACATCCTACTGGAAAACAAATGTGAAAGGGACATATATTGCGTATAAGGCCATTGACATTTTCACAGCGTTTGCTTCAATCTTTGCTCTGACAGTAATCGCTCTGGAGCGACTGTATGCAGTGATGTGTCCTCTAAGACATCGTCTTACCTCCAAAAAAACCTACCACCAGCTCATAGCAGTCGTATGGATGTTGTCTTTGTTTGTAGCTGTGTTGTATTTTATGAACGGATTCGAAGTGTTCAAGTTCAGAATTTTCTTCTATTTTATTATTTTCTTCATATTCTCATCACTTTTGGTCATTTGTGTGGCATATGTGCTTGTATGGGCTAATGTTTCCTATCACAAGAGAGAGAAACCAAAGCGGGAGAGCAGATATAAGGAAGAACTTGACCAACTGAAGCGAAGTGCTCAAGAGAAACAACTCGTCACAACCCTTTTAATTATAACACTTGTTTTCGTTTTAACCTGGATACCTTTCTACATTCTTAACATCGTTGTTTTCTTAAGTGATACTTGGGAGTCATCTCACATTCCTTATGAAGTCTTCGCTTTCACAAAGCTGTTGCATTATAGTAACAGCTTTGCCAATCCAATCGTATACTCCATAAGAATACCAAAATTCACTAGAACTCTTCTTGGATCGCTGAAACGGAAAAGGACTGCGCTATTTGAATCCCTGCAATTAAGGTGATCAGTGATTTGTCGTGTGACTCTATGTAAAAAGAGTCTAAAAGGCTCCCCAAAGTCTTAGGAAATTTGGGCCATTTAATACGTAATGGAAGCTTTACTGAATAGTATATGTAGGGGGGGGGGTAGACCTCTCTGCTAAATGACAACCTTTCTGGTGGACAAGTTTAACTTTACATTTAACTGAGGCAAATCCAACAAACCTTAATTAACCAAATTCGGCAATTTGATTTACGAGGCCCGACTTACACCGGTCGATCAAAGGAGTGCCACTGCATATTCGAACTAAACCAGTCAAGAGCAAAGACTGATTTTCCTCCACAATAACAACAATTGCCAGGCTGAAGCAATTGTTATCTCATTCAGTTTTCAACATCGAAACATGACATCATCACAAAAATTCATCAAAAAATTCTTCAATTCATATGTACATATATAGAAGAAAAGTATTTGCAGAGAGCTGCTTAAAGAGGTTAGGAATAGACAAAGTAATTGTAAGAATAACAACTGGATATACATCATAATAAACTTAAGTCAAGGATAATGACCAAATTGTTTTTATTGGTTTAATAGTGCATTATTACCCTTAAATTGATAGTATCGAGAAGAATGTCATTTGGTCTTTCCAATTGCTTGCGGGACCTACCGCTAACAGGTCCTGATAAGGCTGATCGCGAGAAGGCAGGTCCTAATAAATCACTCTGAAGTCCCCCTGGAAAGTCCATAATGTGACAATAGGTAATATCAAATGAAAACCAAACGATCAGCGAGGAGCTCTGCGCCGATTCCCGGCGAGATTTTCACTCTGAATGTCAAGCTCAGTGAACGCGAAAATAAACCTTCCTTTAACTAGTTGCTCGAGTTGCTCGAACATGCCCATTTCCTGAAAATGATTGGCCGTAGACTTAAATCATCAGAGAAGAAGTGTGATGCAAATACAATATAGCTTTTTATCAAACATCAAAATAGTAAAGAAAATGAGATGAAAATTCGACTGTGCACATTCGAAGACACGTTTTGAAAGGCTCGTTGGAAACTGAAAACGCTCTCAGTGTTATTCATTTATAACAATGAGTTCCTTCCTCCTCATGCTGACAACTAAAGGGAACAGTTTAATCAAAATGTTCTCACAATTCAAGGCGAAAAACGCCTCACTAATGCATTCTAACATCCAAGTGGCCAGGAAAAAGGGTATACAACTCGCGTTTTTTAAATACATTTTGCCTATTGCACCTGCTCATTATTTTATGATTCTAGAAGCGCTAAAAAGTTGCATCAAGTAATTTTGACAATAAGATAAGTCAGAAGAGACCGTTTTAGCCCATTCTCGCCGAAAAAATTTGAACTCAGTATTGTAATGATTCGTATTTCAAAGAAAGAGATGTATCCTGCTAGACTTTCGTAACCACCATGCCGTCAGCTGTTAGTTTCGATGAGTGGACGGAGCTTTCCTGGCTGATATCACTTCCGGCTGCACCGTGTTCTGATTCGCCGTCATCATTAAGGTATGAGTCGATTTTAGAATTTGAATCCTAAAGAGTACAGAGAGAAGTTGTCAAAACTTCGCCTCGGGATTGGGACAAAGCGTCCCTCTGACATACTGCTAGAAGCAGCCGAATGGGTAGGAAATATCGCAAATTTTGAGCTTGCCTGAATAAGTTTAGATAGTATCAATTTTTCATGTGCATGCAACGAAGAGAAAACAGATGCCAGATATTCTGTTGGACGAAGAGAAAATGACTTTTCATTATTTTCTCAAGGTTGAACTCATTTTCGCAGTAAATCTTTGCACCTTTAAGGCGCAGTTATCACTTAATATTACAACATTATCTTTTTTATAGGTCAAGATACTAATTTTTGAGGGCATTTGTAACCTGTGATAAATAGCAGTCAGGCTCATCATCCCAAATTCTGTCTTCCAATGAGCTGTAAGAAAAAAAAGTGTCTGTTAATCCTAGAGACTATGGAGGGTTGTGCTGTTAAATGCCCCTTTCTGCAAAGCTTTAAGAAATTTTGCCAAACCGCCAAACCTAAAAGGTCCCCATTGGTTCATGGCAACTTCTACCATAGAGAATATTAATTTTTAAAGATTAACTGTGTGTTGGAATATATACCGAATGTGAAAAGAAAATGGTAAATTACAGGTGAGTAAACACCGTGCACCGGTAAACAAGAAACAACGTAATGGATAAAACAGTAAAATAAAGGTACAAACATTTGCTTGAAAATCCGATACCAACATTGTAGTATCTCTACTTCGGGACAACTCTACTCAAGGGACACAAAGTTAGATCCTAATCAGTGCATTACGCTCCAAGCCCTCAGCATTTTTCACTCTCGTCTAAAAAGACCTCCATTCAAGGGAGAGTTTTTCAAGCCTGGAGAGTATAACCTAAATGAGGGTCACATTGCGTTAGTAAATTTCATTGTCAACAACTTACCGTCCTTTCTTAGTGAGCACATAATCTGAGCCGCTGTACATTCCTGGGTCGCTTCCATACGGATGAGACATCCTGCAACAAAAAACAAGTTCGTAATGAAAAAGTTAACGAATTCACAAAGATAAGCAAGGCAAGAAACATATTATATGCACCACTCAGTTAGTGAATTATTTTGTCCGGTAAGGACTAAAATTCAATCAGATATCGGAGAAAAGTATGATTTTAAGCAGTGGGTAAACGTTAATACAGCTTTATTATACCTGACAGAAGCTACACTCTTGTCTTCAATAGTTCCAATGACGTCATCATAATACGACCAGGAGCCACTGGAAGAAGAAAAAATATAGAAATAATTTTTATAATGCAAAGTATACCTGAACATGAGAAGGCCATGGGATTTTCATGGTTTGCAAGCTTGATGAAATAGGAGGATAAGGAACGTTTACACATAAATAAAGATACCTTTGTGATTATCACAAGTCTTAGTCCACCAAATAAAATTAAAGAGAAATACTGATAATTTATAAAGGATGGTACTCTTTATTCACTTTTTTCTAAAAAGAACTGAAAAGGAAAGCTTCCAGTTAAGGTAATGAAATAATTGTTCAGTTGTTTTCCTGTTTCAGCGTGATCACACATTCTTTAAACATAGTACCGATCGATGGCATGGTCGTATTGAAATATCAGGAGCTCCATTTAAAACACCTACTTGCGATTGGTGCTACCAAGCTTTCTTCGAGCTCTTGGCGAATTGTACATTTCACGTTTCTTTACTCTAAAAAAGAGACAACGTAGAGGATTATGATTCACTTTGAAAATTAAAATGGTTCTTAGGCTGGTATGCGTAAAAGAGTGAGCGTTGCTCCTCATGACGGAGACAATTAGGCATTAGAGAGTTGTTACAATCATACTGAAGGAAACCTTAATTTTGCGTTTTCTTTCGACACTCAGTTGAAAATTGTAAATGCATTGAATATAGTTACCTGCAACGTGTCTTTACGGCAAAACACAGACCCAGTAACAACAGCAGCCCAACTACAGATCCAAGGATGATAAGTGCTAGTTCAGCGTTACCCAGGCCACTGTCCTCTGTTGGACGTTGTGTGGTGGAAGCGATGGGAGCTCTGATTTTCCATCTGGCGTACAAGGTCTCCAACTGGTCAGTGTGCTTTTCAATAGTGCTGGAGTAGCAAAAACGTAATAACGTTTAACAATAGCCTATTTTTTTCGTTGTAAAAAGGAAATAGTTGTTCCTAATGTTTTGAGGTTTCTTTGGTAGTAAATGGATAAATAACAAGGAGGAACTTAAGAAAAACAGTAGGTAGCAGTTCAGCCTGGTGTAAATTGGCATAAACATTTGCAAGCTCTTTGAATTTCTACAAACTAAATTGAATTCGCAACCTTGCGATTACCTAAACATATTGTCTAACGTATGAAAAATTATTAAGAGAAAGCTAAGCATTAGTTGTCTCTCTTAAATTAAAAAAAAAGGGGTTTTAGTAACCTATCTTTACATTACCATAATGGTGAAATATTTACCTGAGCACTTCATTGCTGGTCATGATGGTCTGAGTATTGAGGTCAACAGCGTGGAACAACACCTCAGAATTTGCGATCTGCTTACCCTCAGAGTTCTCCGAAAAAACTTTGAAAATCGCCTCTATATTCACCTCGGCCTCGGTTATGTTATTCAACACACTGAGGAAACAACACAAAAAAATTGATTATAATTAAATAAAATACAGGATTCATTATCTGTAAAAGACAGTCTATTGAACACAAGACGCAGTCCCCTTGATAAGAATAAGTAGGGCAGCCAATCTCAGTCTGAAATTTATTCAGTAGAAAAATATAGGTATGCTAGGTGATCAGGCCGAGAGGATGAAGATATTGAAATGAGTTTGCTGAGCCAATTAGGAAACGTTTTGAATCCCCTCGTTTCATGAACGGATTCACAGATCGGATCACATAAAAGACACTGTTGCTGTGGATAGGAACACAATTTAAATCTAATGAATAGAAGAGACAAAAGTGACGGAATAAAGACGAAAAGAATTCAAAAAGAAGGAGAGAAATGTGGGATAGAGGAATTGATGGAATTGTCCATGGATGTGTTTATAGATAATATGATAATTTCTAAGGCCTCTTCCACTAACGTTCGAAACAAAGCCGTGGAAACTGGAAATTTAAAACTTACAGTAAGTTAGATACGTCAAAGTAGATGTGGGATGTGCAACTTGCGACATGCGAATACAAATACTTTATTGAGAATCATATTATAAAGCATTAAAAAGAGTAAAGAACTGATTTCAATCATGTAGTCTCTAACCTTATAAATTCCTCCTTATTTCTCTCGATAAGAGATGGGTCAACTTCAGCCTTGAGAGTTACGCGTTGCTCGTCAACAAGAACAAATATCTGTAAGACGTGTTATCGACCGTATAAATGATAGCTGCACGCATCAACAATTAATTCGATTATTTTACTGTATATCTCATACCCAGTTGAATGTTTATGGAATAATTATGCTAACAACTCATGGACGAGTTCGATAACCCCATCAGCATTCTACTATCTTTTTCTTAGCTTGAGTTTAGTAACTAATTCGTTGTTCTTAATTTTGATCATTCTTTTTTACTTTTCAAAACCAATCAGCTTTCCATTAAACAACTTTAAATACAGACTTACATAGGTGGCATGTACAAGTGTTGATATGCTAACTATATGTTGGTGCGTGTGCATTCCTGAGTGTTTGCGTAGAAGTGCTAATTACATTGGTTGTAACCACCTCAAAATAAAGTACCTGAACCGTGGCCTCTCCATCAGCCTCGTTTGTAGGAGGTTTGCCGTAGTTGTCATGAGCACTGACTTTAATTTCAAAACGTTCGCCCTTCTTCCCTTTAAAGTTGCTGGCTGTTGTTATAAATCCAGTGTCTTCGTCTATTTTGAAAAAGCCGCCATCATTTCCAGAGGATATTCTGTACTGCACCGCACTAAAATTACCCGCGTCTCTATCTGTAGCCTGAAATAATTATAAGAAAATTTATCGAAAATTCAACTTTGTACATGCTCATAGTCCCTTTATTACAAAGATACGAGGTTGTTCGCGGTTTTTTCCAGGTCGAGGAAGGTTTAAATTTTATCTCATTCATGCCAAAGTCGTAAATGTGTCTATATTAGTAAAGAGCAGTAACTAACTCAAACACTTTCAGATGATTGTAGAAAACTAAGATACCAGCTCAAAGATATTTTATTTTGCTGGCTGTTAGGATAAAAATTTTATGTACAACATATTCTTCTTCTCATACCTTGACTTTCATGATGTACGAGTCAAAACCTGCAGCTTCTGCAATACCTGAAAAAACAGATATTGCTATTCATTTTCCCGATGTTTACTTTCGTATTAAATCATCAGGGCAAAAGTGGATTACCAAGAAAAAAATAAACATAAAATAAAACGAAGGAAATCAAACGAGGATACGTACAAGAATAACTTGCCCTTAGCCATGATTACATGGTTTACGATTTAATCGACCCCTGTGGGGGTAGGGGTAGGGGTAGAGTATTCCTCACATAACAGAGTTATGTGCGCAGAGTATCGTGATGATTTTATTCGGCCTGATATGATGATCTTACCTCCAGTGAAGAGCGGTCTGATGAACCTAGGAGCGTTATCGTTGATATCAAGTATAGTTATGATGAGGGTTGAAATGTCATACAAATAACCTTCAGCTGAAACAAAAAGGAATATGAAAACGAGACTAAAAAACATGGGGATTTTAACTATGTTTTTATGGGACCTTTATCACCTTTAATCACAGAGAAAATTCAATGAGTTGCTTTCATGTGAGATACGTTTGCAAGCTGAAAGTCCTTGTTTTGAGGAAAACATTTGATCCTGAAAACTTACAACAGGATCTACAATTTTCCTTATGTTTAATTCATGTAGTAACGAAAGAAAAAAATATAGAGTGCAATTCAAAACGACGATGCCTACCATCTACATTTCTCTGCCGCGGTCGACTGGTCTCATTGAAAGCCTTGGTTCTGTAATTATAGGCTCGAACCTCCAGCGTGTATGCAGAATGCCTTTCTCGATCCAGACCCTTGTTTACGAACACAGTACCACTGTTATCGATACGGAAGTCACCTAGACGATATTAAAAAAAAACACACAAAAATTTATAAATTCTGTGGTTCAATATTTCATTATTTCGTTGCAAGGTTCTAACACTAAGGTGAGCAAGGAAACAAACCAATTGCTGGAAAGAGCTCGGCATTGACCAAAGATAGTGAAACCAGTAAATCTTTCTCCTATTACCATTTAAAAGGTTTGGCCACGAACATTATGTAAAAAAATTCCTCGACATAGTGTTTTGAATTCTCTCAGTGATTGTTATGAAACGTTTATGGACAATTTTATTCGTCCACTTGTACAAACTTGAAGCTGCAAAACAAAACTTAAACCAATTTACTACTCCAGGATAGATCGTAACTCTAGCGACTTACTCTGATCATCTCCTCGTGTTATCTTGTAAGTCATTTCGGCATTTGGTCCCATATCTTGGTCTGTGGCTCTGACCTTGATAACTGACCAACCAATAGAAGCCGTCTCAGACACTGACGCACTTAATGAAGGAAAGAAGGAAAAGGAAGCAGCATGACGTACCGAGTGAGAGAAACATTTCATTGGTTCTGTAATTTAGCAAGTGAATGGTTTCTTTGTTATGGCTGGCCTTTCCGATAAGTGAGCGAGAGCGAGGACGGTTTCATTTTACACAAAAGTACACGTAAGTAAATACCTGTAAAACTTTTTTTCAAACTTCGGCTGATTGTCATTCACGTCATCAACGATGACATAAACAGGAACAACAGACGAGAGGGGCTGGGGTGATCCAAGGTCCTTTGCCTCTACAATAATCATAAACCGTCTGTATTCTTCTTCGTCGATGTTGTTTTTTAACGTCATTATTCCGGAATCTTGATTCATGCCAAACACGTTTGCAGTGATCTCATCATACAGAATTTTGTATAGTACACGACTGTTAGTACCCTAGGACAGAAAGTTTTAAAAAGTAACGTTTACATCGTAACGAAGATTAAAACCTATCCATAGCAATGTTTAAATTTTAATTTGAGTAATGTTCAAGAAAAGTTTTCAATCAAATGAAAGAGCTGCAATTATCTACCATTTAAATCAGAATTGAAAAGTACAAACGTCAAACGTACAAGTAAAGTAATTTAGTTCATTCTAATTTTCTAATGTTCTTAACCTTAAATCATCGATATGGAGTATATAGAATAACGTTCCCCCTAAGAAATGTTCTCATCTTTGATCTTGATTTATAGCGTGTCGAAAAAGAAACCCAATAAATCAACACTGAATCTCTTTACAAACACGAACAACTCTTGGACGCTTCAGTTTCTCAAGGGAACAGGTGTATACCGTAAAGTTCCTCTGACAAAATGACTCCATTCAATGGGTAAATCCACTCAAGGGACATTAACTTTAATCTCGACAGAAAAAAAAAGCTACTAAATTGTGTCTTTTTCCTTCAGTTGAGTGACATCTCAATTGTAATTGTTTAGCCCCGAACGTGGTTTTTGATGGATTCTTCAATAATTACCTTTCTATATGGTAACTTAATGGAACGGACACCTGTATACAGGGGACACTTCTAGTACCGATCGGGTCCTATTGATGTGTAACCTTGTAAACTGGTACCCTAATCGAAAGCATACCTCTGTACAGGGGGCAATTTTTCTAGCGCTTTGCAGGACCAAATTTAAAACCAGGTCTGACAATCATAATTCTACATCAAGCAGACCTCTTCCTTTTAACTAGAGGTATAGCTGCACTAACCAGATCTTTATCTTGAGCGGACACTTTCACAATGGATGTTCCTGCCTTGGCTCCCTCGGAGATCGTCTCGTTGTAGCTAGGGACACTAAAACGAGGCGCTTCGTCATTGGTGTCCAGGACATTGACTCTCACTATTGTCTCACTGCTCAAGGGTGGACTGGATGCGACATTGGTTGCAGCCACTGAAAGATCGTAGTGCCTAATCCTCTCGCGGTCCTATATGAAACACACCAATTGATATCTGGATAGAATTCCAAAAAACAACGAAAAAATTAATCGAAATTATATTTTATGACTAGTAAATGAAAATTTTTACCAATGGCTTGTTAGTAAAGATTCTTCCGGTAGCTCCATTGATTTCAAAACAGTTGTCAGTGTCTCCCCCTGGTGAAGGAATAAAGTAAATCAGGATGTAGGAAATACAGATTTCAGCCATAAATGGCATATTAGCGATAACAGCGCGAAGCACGATAGAGGTTTAGCTACGACCTGTCCAAAATTTTTTTTAATCCTTGAAAATTAACTGGTCATGTTATTAATAACAATAATGATAATAATAAACTTCATAGATGACACGTTAGGTGATTCTAATGATGAAACACTAATTTGCATCATGAGCAACGAGTAATTATCTATCGCGAAGATACAGATAAATAAAGATGAGAAGGCGGCTGCGCATGCGTATTTAAACAGCACTCTTTTGTTTCTCGCGTGTTTAATGAAGGTAATATTTTTAGGTACCCTCCTAAAACACTTAAGAAAAGGAAAGCTCGAGTGAGACGATGAAGTGCACCTGATGCAGTAACATTCCTCTGTAGCATATCGCACCCTGTCTGACAGTTACTGTTGATGCCTAGCAATTAAACTGAATGAACATGTAGATTGTAAGCAACTATTGAACTAAAGCGTACCTAACTCTTCATAAACGACAATTTCCTCTCGAAAATGACAAGTACGAACTAAACTAGGATATGTAATATAAAAACCACTAACTGATTCGCACCAGTTATTGAATATGTTATTTCAGCATGTTTTCCGATGTCTTTGTCCTCAGCAAAAACCTTTCCTATCGTTGTATTCTCGGGTTCGTTTTCAGTTGCCGAGAAGGGTCCGAAAGTCTACAATAGGAAAAAAAAACCAACGTCTCCATAGAAAACTAAAGTACATCATTATTTAATTGCGAAATTAAGTTAACAAGAACAAAACGGCAATAATAATTATCATAGCACTAACGATATCAACTACAGACCGATTAGAATTTAATTTAGTTTGAAAGAAACCTATTTATGAAACAATGCATAAATTATTATCGATTCTTGAGTGACCTACTTCTACTGGACGGTAAAAGATAATGTGCCACTCACAATCCTTCTATTTTTTATTACTTTTCAGGGCTCGAAATTAGCACTCGCAAACTCGTAAAATGCGAGTGGTTTTTCGAAGTTGCGAGTCTAAAAAATATCCTCTAGCAAACTAGGTTCCTTCTTTTGCTAGTAAAAAAAATCTTACTAGCAAAACTTTGCTAGTAGACAAAAAAGTTAAGTTCGAGCCCTGCTTTTTCGTCTTAAAAGCAAACAAAATTATGGACACACAGGTTTCAAGATTCCGAACCCAAATATTGGGATTAGGGGAGAAAACAGACGTGTTTCCTCGCTTGACTATAAAACTGTAAAGCCCGTGCACAGACTTAGGTGGCAATGGTGACGCCTTTTCACAAAGGTTTACGAAAGGCCTTCTAAGAGCGACACTTCCTCACTGAGGCCACCCAAACTTCTTTTCCTGAATCTGAATTCTAGAGGGACATTCAGCACAACTTGCAACACCACCAACTTATACAACAAAAGGTTAAAGGAAATAACCGAGGTGGAAGTAATCTAGGTAGTCTAAACTTCTGTACAAAAGTCCCACACAACTGATCGGCTAGGAACAAGAAAAATGATTAGAAGTTAACTTACGGTAGTAAATAGCGGTGTGTTGTCATTCATATCAAGTATCTTCACCTCAACTGTACCGAAATCCATGTATGGAACCGTACCCTGGTCACGTGCCATGACGATGAGCTGAGGCAATGAATGCGATCGCTAAGTCTTAAAATCATCACAGTCTAACTGATTGATTGTATTTATTTGCAAAAGAAAAATTTCGGTAAAACAACCAAAAAGAATACCTCAAATGTATTTCTTTCATTTCCGAAATATTTCCTATTGAAAAGGCCATTCCATTTTATTCCCCCCAAAATCCCGCTTTACGTGCATATGAAAGGCACTCCTCGGTGTGGATGGCTTAGCCATTGACCCAGGCTTAAAATCCAAAAGCTTAAAAAGACATCACACCGGAAAGGCTTAACAACACCCAGACAAGCATCCTGGGATTAAAAAAGGTTACTTACTGAATACCAGTCCTTTTTCTCCCGGTCAAGCGCACCAGCGGTCGTTATAACTCCGGAAGTAGCGTTAATAACAAACTTCCCTTCTTCGCCATGCATGATGGCAAATTCCACTCTCCCATTCATCATAATGTCGTCATCAGTGGCATTGACGTCATACACAAACGACCCAGTGTTAACATTCTAAATAAGCCCAAGAGAAATTTCACCGCAGTTAATGAACGAAATTTAATCAATGTGATAATAAGTTTACTCGCAAAACTTAGCCAACAGTATTGACGTAAGACCCCTCACCGTCCATTCTTTATGATATACAATATGCTTCTTCTGTAACTTTTGGTGCTTATAACTTTACAAGTTATTTAATTACCTCGAAGACTGAGGCTTTGCTCTTCTTCGGTCTTATGACGGGTGAGTTGTCATTCACGTCAGTCAAAACAAATTCAACTTCGGATTGGTCGGTTTTCTTAGGTTCCCCACCATCCTCAGCGAGCACGCTAATTTTTAAGGAGTTGTTCGCCTCACGATCCAAGGGTTTTGCCACACTTATCTCTCCGGTAATTTCATGAATTGAAAAGAGTCCTTGAAATGAAAGTTAGAATCATTACTGGCTTGTCATTTTTAACCTTTAAGTTAATGAGTATTCATCACCGGGCTAAAACGTTTTGAGAGGCAATGATGTAATGGTAGGCGCGCTTCGTCTCCGACTCAGAACCCAAAGCCAGTCTCGGCTCAATTCTTAGCTATGTCATTGTTTTGCAGAAAAATGGTATGTGGAATCCAAATAATTTATCAGATTCTCTGCACTAGCTCTGAAGCTTAAAGCAATTAACTTGCATACTACAATATATATATGTGATAAGCAGTATCAAATTATTCGCTCATTTTGAAATAGAAACTTAAGTCTTCTCTCACAATGATAGGAGCAATTACCAGCTTTGTTTCCGGCTGTGATCATGTACCGCACGTTGCCATTTTTGCCTATGTCAGCATCATTTGCTCGCACGACTTGTACAACAGTGGCGACGGCTACGTTTTCTACCAACTTCCGCTCATACAAACGGCGAGTAAACTTCGGAAAATTGTCATTTACATCCAAGACTTGGACAAACACCTACGAAAATAACATATTCTGACGTTGGAACCCACCATTGACTTGAAAATCAAGGCCAGTGAGATTTAAATTTTCAGAGAAGATCATAATAATAACGTGTTTGTACGGATAAGAAAGCGATATAGGTGACCATTACCTCTGCTTCAGATGAAAGCCTATGGGCTCCATTATCAGTGGCCACAAGAGTTAACCGATAAAGGTCCTTTTTCTCTCGGTCCAGCGACTGAAGAAGCTTTAACTGTCCCGTTTCAGGAGAAATGAAAAATGTTCCCATGTCATCCTTGAGAGAATAGGTGATCTAGGATTTAAATAAAGAATAATAAGGGAATCGTAATGTGTCCACTCCGTGAGCTTGAAGATTATCGATTTTGACTGAAATGACATTTTCCAGGGTAAAGTCTCCCTTCCTGCCTGCATTGTTTGGATTCTTCCTAACCGCTAACTACATATTGACTGAAAGAGGTTTAAATGCGGTTGCACATGCTATCAGTTTTTCCAAAGGGCGGTACCAAATATATAGTGCAACAACCGCGGTCTCTTGAGAGTTACCTCACGAGCTGTGATATTTAATATTGCGCTGGTGATACGTGGCTCTCGACGGACAAACAATTGACATACTGAGCTACAAATTGTAATAAGAGGTGATTCAATGATAGAATGATAATCTCTGAGATTCGTCGTCAATCATATCATCAAGTGTTTGGCGAATTGCGAAGGTCTCCGATTTGAATCCGCGGGGCCTACTCTCTCGATCTAACTTCAGCGTAAATTTTCAAGATTATGGGTCTTTCTTTTCTAAGAATCAGAGGTTTATAAACACTGGTTAACTAAGCTCCACGAAAGGAAGAATGACCAGTGCTCTGGAACTGCAAGCCGCACGTCACCTTTGCGTTTGCTCCAGTATCTTCATCGGTAGCAGTAATCTGATCAAAGTATGAATTTACTCTAGTATCCTCTGACACACGCAAAGTATAGGAATTTTGTGAAAATTGAGGCTGATTGTCATTGAAGTCCGTGACGGTAATGTTCAGGAGAACATAGGACGTGAACTGTGGCTGACCGTGGTCTCTGGCAGAAATATTCAGCAAGTAAAATTTGTCCCCCATAGGTTCGTAGTCAAGACGACCGGAGGGACGAACTATGCCTGATGATTCTATTAAAAAAATAAAAACTTAAATGAATAGTAGTAGCAACAACATTTGAGGCGTCCTCTGTCTCTTCAAGTTACTTTAAGCTAAAATTCTTAGATTATTTAAGAACAAATTAAAAAACAACTATAACAACAACAAAACAATCAAGCGACGCGGTTTACCATCAACTGTCAAAGTGTGCAACAGAAGAATATCAAATTTAAGCGCACAATTTGCCAAATTGCCTTATATTTCTGTCAAAAAGTCCTGCGGTTTCAAGGCCAACGGTCCTACGAAGGCAACTTTTGTCGCATTTTTATCAGAATTCTGAAAGAGTGGCCTTGAAGATATACAGAATAGAAAATTTATGCTCTAAGCGACGGCCGCGTGCAATTTTTCTAAAGGAAATTTTCAAAGAATTCAGTTGATGAAAACTCAAACTTCCCACCACTTTCACAAGAAATTAAGTTTTAATCTTACCTTCAATAATGAACTTGCCGCCCGCACCATCGACGATGTTGTAAGATACAGCAGCGTTGTTACCTTCGTCAGCGTCCAGAGCTGTGACTCTTATCACCTAACAAAACGGAAATAATTAGGTCAAAGTTACCTTGCACAACCTGAAATCACATGTTGTTAGTGCAGCTGTTCTTGATAACAAACCTGATATCCACCGAATGCGTTTTCAGGAACTAATGCAGTATATTCTGGTTGTGTGAATACTGGTGGATTATCGTTGGTATCTATTACTAGGACTTCAAGAGTTGTATTGCTTCTCATAGGAGGGCTGCCTTTGTCTTTGGCCTGAGAGGACAACAAAGCAAAAATCTATTACAACGCGTCATTTCTTGATGTCGTGCTTCTCATTGCATAATTAAGCACACGGGAGGCAGATGAGAATGCAGCCGTTGCTCATTAATTTTTTTTTTTTTCATACATTTATATATTCATTTAATTATTCATTTGTCGGTCATAATTATACAGGCGTGTTCAATTTAGCTGAGGCTAGTAAAACTGAGGCCTTAAAGATTGACAGTAGTACTGAGGCTCTCTAAATTGTTCATCCGGTCTCGTTTCCACGCTAGAATCTTAACGTTAGAACCTTAAGCCTCCATAAGTTCTATTTAGCCCTTTCAAAGTTGCGAGCGTTCGACCATGCTTTCAAAGTCTTTCATAATCATCACCCTTCACTCTTACCTCCACAGTCAGTATATACTTTTCCTGCAATTCACGATCCAGGCTATATGAAGTACTAACATAACCAGTGTCTGGATCAATGATGAAAGGCAGAGTAACTAAAATTGAAAAAAAAATGTTCACTCAGTAGACGTTATTTTAATCGATATCGTGATATTTTTGCATAATTGAATCAATTTGAATGAAATTGATTCCAAGGGATCCAAATAAACATTGGCACTGTATTGACCAAGAGGGTTTGACGACAGTGTTTTTAAGAGGCCAGGTTACCTTCGTCTTTCCCGGTGGACTCGCAGCCATAAAGTTCCAGTCTCATGCAAATCCTGAAATTCCATGACTGAGGATGAACTCGCACGTAGCGCGCGTGAAATGGAGGAAGAACACGATTCGTGTTGGTACTATCACCATCTTTGTTGCCCTGAAAAACCTGCAAAGGAAACCATGATATCAGAAACGCTATGACCTTGAAAAACGTACTTGCACATGACGACTGTAAATCACTGTCTCAAGTTTTACAAGAAAACAAGTTGCATATGGTGTGAGGACGTTGTGGTAACTGCTTTCTCTTTGAGTTTCTGTCTTACCTCTCTGTGAAATTCAAATGAGTTGCCATCCAAACTGAACGACAGTTTGTAAGTTTCAACGTAATCGTTGGATCCAGGCCTCCCCTGTGTGGCAACTTTTGTAACTTTTCGCATTCCTCGAAAGTCAATCTGCAGATATTGTTGCTTGTTATTCGTGGCTGCACACCAAGCCCCTGGAAAAAATGAGACAAACAAAGTGTAGCTACCTCACTCAATTATTGTTGTCGACGTTGTTTCTGTTTTTTTTTTCTTTTGCCTTTTTAATAGGTACGTGATACTAATACAGACTTTGAAGTAAACAAAGTTTACTTCTTATTATTAACATAGCCTCTCTGAGATTTTATTTTTATTTTTTCGGAACTAAACCTGAAAAGCCTTTGACTCATTCAACTCATCAAAAAGTTAAAAGATATCAACAATATCTAAAGTTTGTCAGTTGAGTGTGTATTCTTTGGCGCTCATTGATACTCAATTTGTTCCACATTCTTCTGTTTTTTTTCAATCACAAACGTGAAGAAATGCTACTGGTGAATAATCCTTATAAATAGTCTTATCACCTTTGTAAGATATCCCAAACTGGTTAAAAACTTTGTTATTAAGTCTCCCCAGTGTTGGTGAGTAATCCTCGTTAGGAAGAGTGTATGTACTCGTGGCTTGGGTGTCGCTGGCTTTGACTTCACCATTCTCCAGCCCCAAGGGAGTTTCGCAGTCTGAGTGAACCGAGATCATTGACTGCCCCGGGCCTGAAAATAATATGAAAGACAATCACTCGCCGTAAAAAGGCACGTTCAGTACCACCCGAAGGTAAGTTATTAGTTTCTATCTGGTAAATGTCTGTCTTACCAATATTCGCATGGGTGATAGCGTACTCAAATACAGCGTTCTCCCCAACGTCACTATCAAGCGCTTCCACACGACAGACCCTTGTTCCGAGAGGGGCATCCTCCTTAACGGTCATTTTGTGAGGAGAAAGGAACTGGAAACGAGGAGCGTTGTCGTTTTCATCAGTCACATGGACGGTCACCTTAAAAGAGAAAGAAGCTTTAATACAAAGCTTACAGTAGGCCTAGACTGTGACATCTGGATCAAGATTTCTAGAGATCTAGTGTAACGCAAAGCTTGATTCTCACGAAAATAGAGATATAGTACCACCTTTACACGGACGGCGACGAAAAAAAGCGAAGAAATTTATTTTATTCCCTTTTGAATGAAGTTTGATAACTTTGAATTATCTTCTCAAGCCATAACGATAGTCTAGAAGCTAGCTTATACCCTTTCTGTTACTAAACTAAGCCTGGACTCGAATGTAATGACTGGGAATATTCCGGTAGAGATAGCGGCTATCTAAGACTTAAAAAAAAGTTATCTACCGTCTGTACGTCCCCTGATTGTTTTCTTACCGAAGTGTAGCCACTGAGCGGAGTGTGTCCGTTATCCATGGCTTGAACGGTGAACACAAAATCCGCTCGTACTTCTCTGTCTAAAATAACCAATGTTGAAATTTCACCCTGTAAGGAAGTTAGCAAATGCCATTTTTGTTAGATACAAAAATTTTCTCATACTTTCCATGTGTGTAAAGGATGGCTGATATCTCATTCTTCATTTGTATAGCGTAATAGAAAGAGTAGCCTTACCGTGCTTTGGTCAATCTGGAATTCGTCCTGTAAGGATACAATACTGTATGTAATGACCGCTCCTGGTCTGTGCTTTGAAACCATAATTTGCAAAATCGGGGTCCCCGGTGATTGGTTTTCCGTAACATTGACTACATAAGATGATCTACGATGCAAATAAAATAAAAACCATCAAGTGATAATCACATTCAAACGCAGACTCACAACTACTTTGTTGATTAATTTTGATTTTTTTTTAATCATTAAGTGCGTCGGTCACTGAGATATGAAATCCATCGGTCAGTCAGTAACTGGATTATCTTTCGTTTATCAGTCCGTCAGTCTACTATTTTAGAAGTCTAGTAAAAAAAACTGCTGCCTTGCTTAAATGGAGGGCAGGTTCTTGAGGTATCCCGGGAGCTTTTACCGTCGGTAGTCAGCCAGCAGATGGAATAATACTCCCGTGGCAGGCAAATTTCCCAAAACCAGCCATGAGCCCCCCATTCCAGGTACCCATCAACACTGATTTGATCAAAAGGGAAGAAGGAAACGTGTGGGTGGAAATTGAAAACAACCTCTACAGGACTGCTGAAAAAGGGGCTTCCAGACTGCTCGTAAACTCGAAGACCTTGCATGTGAGCCTGCATTTAAAAGATTTACCGCTGAACAGAAACACCCCCTAAGCTCGTTGCGTTTAACTTTCTGAAACTTTAAAATTGAATGATGTCTGTCAATAGGTGCAGTCAGTCCAAAGTTTAGTCGATCGATTCTGAAGTCGGTAAGTCAATGGCTTACAATGACTTCACCTGTTAAACACAGGACTGTCATCGCCTGCATCGACTATGTTCATCTCTACAGTGATATTGGACGACCGAGAAACTATTCCGTGATCACGTGCTACCACCTTGAAAATAAAGGAGCCATTGACGTCGATCACATCACGTCGAAGAAGATCGATACGATTGATTGGATTGTGAACCCTGAAAGGAAAAATGAACCTGAAATGTAGCTGGACCGTCAGGGAAGCTGGATGAAAAATAACATGTAATCCAATTTGAATCACATAAGATAAGCCCGAATATCATTAGTAATTCAGATAGCAACTGTGATCAGTTGGCTGTAGTTTGAATGCCTTTGGACATCTCGGTACAGTCTAATTCTTTACGATACTTTTGGGAACTTTCTATGTGTCCCTAGAAATCTTTCGTTACTTTTGGGTGTTGAAATATCATTTTCATTGCTTCAAGTGTACTCCATTTGACAATAGCGAGAAATGCATGATTAAATAAAATGACATGAGGTAAGATAAAATGAAAAAATTATCATTTAATCAATGACTGCTTTCAAGGCCAATTACTGATATTGTATGTGAACGTTTCCGGGAAAAATTTTTAAAAAATATGTCTTCAACTCACTTTATAAACCCGTCTTCTGAGTCGATACTAAACAAGTCGTCCTTCACATCAACAATGGTATATACAATACGGGCATTTTGATGGACATCCTTATCTTCTGCAACAATTGATAACACTATGGTACCAACTGGTGTCCTGTCAATAACGTCGGTCTTGTACCTCTCGCTTAGGAAATACGGAGAATTATCATTTGTGTCTGATATCACCACATTCACAGCTACACTTGATTCCAGGCCTCCACCATCTTGAACACGGACGATGAATGAATATGTGTCCATAGTTTCTCGGTCCAGTTCCTTTGTGGTTGTCACGCTCCCTGTTTTGGGATCAATCTTAAACATAGGGTGGTTCATGGAGTAAGAAATATCAGAGTTTATTCCGTAATCTGGATCGTTGGCAGTAAGATTTACAAGCAAACTACCGACTGGAGACTCTTCTGAGATTGTAACTTTGTAGACCAATTTATCAAATCTCGGTATATTGTCGTTCACGTCTGACAAAGTAAGAAAGACAGTACCAAATCCTTCTAGCGGGTAATAACTGCCATCTAAAGCTGAAACATTTAAAACGTAGCCCTCTTTCATTTCTCGATCCAGATCGCCAATTACGCGAATAACCCCGTCGCCTCTTCCAATCTCAAATTTTCCATCTGCACCAGAAATCAATGAATAAGACACTTTTCCGTTAAGATTATAATCCGGATCTACAGTAAAAACCTTTGTCACTGAAAAACCAACTGGAGAATCCTCACTGATAGTTGCACTTTTCGTCGTGGGTTCAAATCTGGGAACGTTGTCGTTAGCGTCTATGACTTGTACCTTAACAGGCACGGATGACGCATGTCCAAAGCCTTTCTCATCTACAGCTACCACGTAAAAGGAGTAGTTTACAATCCTCTCATGGTCCAGTGTTGGCAGAGGAAATTTTCGTGTGGATATGATTCCTGTTATTGGATCAATGGCAAACTGATGTCTTTCGGAGCCATTAAGGTGATAGCGAATCTCTCCGTATTGACCTTCGTCGGGGTCTGTAGCCTTGATCTTTTGGTGCTGCGGAAAAAAGCAAAATAATAAAGATGGATTTCAAAAATTGTAAGGAGTGTGGGACAAAACGTCTGAATAACTTTTGTGAAACGAGCCTAGTATTCTCTGATTTCACCTTCCGACTGCACAGGAGTAAATTCGTCAGTGAACATGACCAAATGCGTCTTATTGGAACCACTAAGATAATAGCCAAGCAAATATATTTCTTTTTTAATTTTATTATGCAATGCACTTAAATTATTTACAATACAATGTGGACATTACTTACAGGCCACAGCTACATATGATACAAAATTAGCAATACCTATAATACTATAAATACTAACAAATACTAGCGATACCAACAAAACGTATTACTTAGCAATTGCAGCTTTTACGATTACAGTTACATTGTGCAGACATGTAAATGCGTCGGTATTGAAAAAAATACTCCCTTTATCCATTGGAGGCTGATTATGGGAACCTATTACAACATGAAGAGTTTATACATGCTCCTCAACTTATCAGGAAAACAAAAAACGGAATTTGAGGCGTTTAATAGCTTCCCGGTTTATGACAATGTTCTTCATGGAATTTAAATAAGTGAATGAAGTATAATTCAATTCTATCAATAGCTTGAACGCCAAACAGCCTCTAATTTTTTGTCAAGCAAAACCATAGTATTGAAAAATTCCAAACTTACAAATCTATCCTATAGGAAAAAGGTTTGTCGTGTACATGAACTCGTTCCGCTTCAAAAAGTTGTCACGAGGTTTATCTGTACTAACCATGTTCACCGACGTCCCAGCAATGGAGTTTTCCATTATGTCTCCTGTATACATGGCTTGAGAAAACTTTGGTGTGTTGTCGTTCCTGTCTAGTACTGTTACAAACACTGTAGCAAAGGCCTGCGAAGAAACACAGGATTGAATCAAACAACTTCAAGAACATATACATTGCCATCAAAATAAATTTATAAATGAAATATGTAGACTAACATCACCCTTTGCATGATGACTACCACTGAAAATATTTTAATTCAATGAGGAGAAAAATTCCATCGCTCTATGTAGCTGAGATGGTTATTGTAAGTAATAACGTCCCTTTGAGTAGATTTACAACCTGATTCGAATTTACTAATTGCTTAATGTTCGTGAACACGAAAGAACTTAATTAAAAAGCGAAAAAGGCAAAACAAGGAATAACGTTGAAATAAACACCAAATAATTTTGGCGGCAACACCCAAATTACTCTCGACACCTAGCTTAATAGTGCAGAATATCGTTACTTCAACATCACCTTTCTACTGAGTGGAACTCCTCCATCGGCTGCAGTCACAGTTAAAATGTAGTTATTCGTTTGCTCTCGATCAACATGACTTTTGACCTTAACCGTTCCGTAACTTTCCTACGAGAAAAGTACAAGAACGAGAGCGTTTCGATAATCTAGGATAAAATGATTAAATCATCCTTATTTGATTTACCCTCGTATTTTTTAAGTATCTACTCACATAAAGTAAAAGATTTATCAGAAAAGAATAACCTCATTACCAAGGGTTACTAGTGAAAGTTTATTTATGTATATCCCACTTTCTTAGGCAGAAAATTAAGTCAATTCACACGACATGCCTTCAGCGTTTGTTGTTTGCTGATAAAAATAAAGGGGGTAAGTTTTCAAAAAAAAACTACGGTGCTGCGAAGGTGAGAGAGTATGGCAAGATAATTTTAGTTTTATCAACTGAGTTGATCGTGTAAATTGGCCACCGTTAAGAGTTTCAAAGCAGACGTTTCGAGCGTTAGCCCTTCGTCGGAGCGAATGGAGGAATTGTGGGTTGTGTATGTGTTTATATGGAGAAAAAGAAGCTACGCTATTGGTGAGGAAATAGTAAAGAGAAAAACAAGAATAAATGAGTTGGATGAAAAGCAAGTGTCGATAACGTGGGTATTAAGAGTGCCGATTTGAAAAAAAAATAAGTTTCTCTAGAGTTGTTCTCAATTGATAAAACCAAATAATATTGTTTGTTAATTCGTTGCTTTTCCTTTGTTTGATAGTGTGTTTGTTTTTTTCACTCTTCTATACCAACCCATTTCTTTACTTCACCTTCTCTATCCATTTCTTTCAGAGACAGGGAAATTTGCGCAATTTCAATCTATCAATCTAACTTTAAAACTGATCGCTTTCCACCACACTTGTCAAATCTTTCATAGAAAAACTACATAGATTCCCCTCTAAAATTTTGCCTCTTGTCACCCAAACACACATCGCTATTGGTGTACCTGTGTATCAACAGCAAATACAGAAAAAGGATCCCCTTCTGTGACACTGTAGGTAATCCGAGCATTTTGACCACTGTCAGCATCCTTTGCTGTTACATTTATCAACGGCGTTCCCATGGGCGAATTTTCGTACACAGACACGGTATAGTTTACCGGATCAAACACCGGGTCGTTATCGTTTATATCACCAACTTCGATGTATACCTGTGTCTGAAATGAGTAAAATGCATAACGATCTGGAAATGAATGCTCCACACAGTACTGTTAAAACGTATTGATCTAAAGACTCCCGAGCACAAAAAGCAAACACAATAAATGCGTAAATTAAGAATTTTTTGACGGTTTTATAAAAAGAAAAAATTTAGAATTATGTATAAAGTATTTTGAAAAATTGGAGATGACTAAATCGAAAAAAAATGCCCTTTGTATGTGGACCTTTGGTGGCAACACTGATTTATAGATGCGCCCTTTTCTAGCTTCAGTGCTACAAAAAATTAACTAGAGTGCCATGTAGAGTGAAGCAAGGGAACAGGTGTGTTAAAAAAAATAAGCGCGTTTACTTAGGAAATGACTGAAGACTGGTGAAATGTGCTAGAAAATCTGTACCTACCTTTGCAATTCGTGCAGGTTTCCCTTGATCCGACACACCAATAGTTAGAGTGTATGAAAATGTCTGTTGACGCTCAAGATTCTTACGAGTTTTGATCATGGCTGTCTGAGGATCCAGCGAGAAATCGCCTTTTAAAAAAAGGAAGGGTTCAATTATGTTATGTGTGTGATAGTTTCATTAGTACATGTTTCTCCTTTTGAAGTTGGCAAAGACTTTCCGTTAGTTAATCGAAACGTCAGTCAAACGTCAGTCATGTGCACAAGTCCTTCGTACGATGTGATAGATTATAAACATTAGATAGGGTAAATACCAGGAAAATCGGAGTTAAAAAATGATTGAAGATCTGTATTGGTTCAAAGACCGAAGAATTCAATTTTTGGAACTCATCGCATGCATCAACAACTACAAATTAGAAATAGTACGAACATACCTCCTGTGTTACCGGATATCAACTCGTATACAAGTTTTCCATTATTTCCAGCATCCGGGTCAATAGCCACTGCAGCAATGACGTCACTATCAGCTTTGGCTCCTTCCGATATCTTAACATTGTATCCATTGGGTGGGAAAAACGGTGTGTTGTCGTTTATATCCTCAATGAGCACACGTACCTGAAGAGGAGAGTTTCTAGTATCGATGAGCAAGCAAACAATTCTTTGTAATAATTAATTGTCTATAAGATATACAAAATCAACCATAGTTGAGCTCTCAGAATATTTTTTATTTAAACTTCGATTGTAAACTTACAGTCTGTGGATTAAAAGGTTTTCGCAAGTGAAGTGTGACTGTTTGTTTTGCACTATAAAGAAATGTTGTCGATGATAGTGAAGGAATCATAGTCACTAGAGTCAGATTTTCAAAACGCCTTTCTATATCGAAAAAAAAATAATTTTATGTTACATTATCCTTTTACACAACCTCACTGAGACAAAAAAACTTCACGAAATAAAAGGGCTGAAGAAAATGTAGATGGAGGAAAAGGATCAGTTTTGATTACCATTAACGGCAAAACTACTAGGCACCGCAGAGCTATCAAAACGTTTATCAATAAATGCATGTACGAGGATCATGTAAATGTAATATAATTTTAAAGACCTTATAAACAAAGGAGCTTTGAGAAATTACCGTAGCAGTAGTTCGCTGTTTAGGTGAACCATGGTCAGTGGCATCAACCAATAACGTATAAACGCCTCTACCGTCCTCGTCGACTGCCACTCCAGGCGCCTCCCGGTCAAGGTCTTTGCTAGTCGTGATCACACCCTGAATAAACATAACAAACAGACCAACCTTCTTCCATATTCACATGTGAATAATGAGTGAAGATTAAACCTAATATTATTTATTTCAAGAAAAATTCCAAGCTTCTATTAAATTCGATCAAGTGTTTACTTTTCACTGCGTTCAGATGTATCTGCTAAAGATAAAATAAAAGGAGAGACTGCTTAACGTAATCGTTGACGAAATCAGTTTGACCTTCCATTTTCACACAAACTTTAAAATAATGGCATGTAGACTCCAAGGGCGCAGATAGGGGGAAGAGGCTCTGACGGTGTAGGTGACTTTGGATTTTTCTTAATAGAAACACCTTAGTTTGATCCCCTAAGCAGCCTAGTCTAAAGTCTCCTTTCCTGCTGGTAATATCTGGCCCTCGTAAAATATTTGACTAAACCTGCACAACTAAACTATTTGTTCGTACATGAACATGAACGTAAAACCTACACTTGCGTTGCAAATAAAAACAAATTTTATGGCTCCTATCATCTTACCGTATTTCCATCAATAAGAAAGACATCTCCCAGATTTCCTCCACTGATAGAATAAGTAATGTTTTTGTTGTCCCCAGCATCCAAGTCAGTAGCATTCACTTGTATCACGTATATCCCCGCCGTGTCGTTGCCCTCTGTAAGCACCGCCGTCATGACTGGTCGAACAAACTCTGGAGAGTTGTCGTTTATGTCAGTTACATGAACAATTACTTCCTTGCGACCCTAGTAAATGAAGAGGGCAAAAAATTTTAAAACTGAATTTTTCGCGATTCTTTCATTGCAGTAGGCTTTTTTCTGAAGTAAACATGGTCATTAAAAATTGTCAGTTGAAATGGGCCAAAACTTATAAATTCCATTACTGAAAGGAACTCAGTGGAGGTGCTTTTTCAGAGGAAAGTCAGAAAATTTTCAGTTAAATTTCTTCATCACCTGCTTGTTTCCTGTGTCGGTTGCCACAGCAGTCATTCGATAAAGACTCTTTTCCTCTCTGTCAAGAGACGCTGGACCTGTCCTAATTTCACCGGTGTTTGCATCAACAATAAATTTACCATCTGATCCTGTCACGGTAAAATTATAACAAATCTTTATTAGTGTATCACAGTGCAACAATCAAATTAACGTTTAGTACGAGGTTATTTTGGATGATACCTTTGTTGCGTTCATCGCAAGCCATACACTTAGCCTAGAGTGTCCTAGAGATACTTGGGTAATTTTATTCCTCAACGAATATACCAGAGCTTTAACCGGGTTTGACGCACAAAATTGACAAACTCATTGAGTAAGCAAACAAAAAAGTTGATTCTTTGCGCAGTGACCAAATCGGTAAGGCTAGCATTACCTTCAAGGCTATACGTCATTCTTGCATTGTCACCGAGATCCGCATCACTTGCCCGCACACGGAGAACAAACAGTCCACTAGGTGACATCTACCAAAGGAAAGGAAAATTAGAACCTCTGTGTGTGACACGAAAGAATTTGACAATAGCAAATGGAATAGGAGCAAACGACGATTTAGGCGCCGCTCTTCATAAATTTTTTTACTTCTCAGGTTCGCAAAATTTCTCTAACACTAATTTCATCATTGTAACTGACTTCCTTGAGTCTGCTCTGAAGAGAAACCCAAATAAATTCCTGTAGCAACGCTCCGTGTGTAAGATTGCTTATGTTAGGTTGTTTGAACGAAAACCGATATTTGTATTCACATCAATCTACTTCACATACAGTCTTCGATCAGATGAAAATCACAGAAGAACGAGAGCGAGTTTAAAATAGGAAAAGTTAATTAAAGACAAACTAGCCCTTATTTGAGCAATTGCGCTCTAACCGTCGTTTCAGATACTCAAACGTTGTAAAGAATCATGCAATCAGGTACAGATCTTGCCACTCACCTCCGTTACATATGCTGAATAGTGAACTGAGGAATTAAACTCAGGATTCCTATCATTTACATCTATGAGTCGAATTTCCAGCATCACGCTACTGTTGTGGAGACCGTCTGACACAAATATCTAAAACGAGTGGAGAGAATTACAGTCAAGCAAGTTACTCAAAAGGTGTGATAAACATTTTTTGAAAATTTAAGAGCCGTAAAGAGCACCACCATTGTCGGAGCTTACCACCCGATTTCCGGAGCATCAAGGACCTTAGCATGGACTTTGGATGGTTGCCCTAGTATTTTGTAACTTGGTTTTGCCATTTGATCGTTTTTTCCTTTTTTTTTGGGGGGGTTTTTGTTTGTTTGTTAGTTTGTTTTTTCCTCAGCAGTTTACCGATAAATATTTTATCATATCGTGGTGAGAGGAGGATTAGTTAGGTCTTAAAGTTTCTTTCCTATGGACATAACAAAGTAACGTCATCCTGGGCTCAAAACGGACCCCTCGTTCCACAATCGAGAGCAAGAGTAACTAGACTGACAACGCAAACTATGATATAAATAGAGCAAATAGTAAATATCATGGTCTACTTACGATTAGTTTGTAAAGATCTTTTGTTTCCCGGTCCAGGGGCTTTGCCACGGTTACCACCCCAAGGTATTTCCCGCCACTTTTGGTTGTTGTCATGCCCAAATTGCCATTTGGATCCCCACTCAGAATGCTGTAAGTGAGCTGGAATAACAGAAAAACCAGAAATATTACCAGCGAAGCTAACCTAGGATTTCTGGAAATTGTTTCGTGGCTTTCTAGAAAGTTTTTCCTGCTTCAATCACATTATCCCTTAGTTCTGCCTTTAGCTAATACACGCTTTTAAAGAGAAGAAATTTTAAATTTCTTAACATATCCTCATTTGGAGTTGCCCAACTTCCAGGCAACCGGAGCCAAGTTTTGATTTCAGGTCGGTAATTCAATAGCTAACAAGAAATAGTGAAAATTTTTGTCCATATTCCAAATTGCAACTTGTTAAACTAATGTTTGAAAGATAAACCCTAACATATGTGATGATTGAGACCTGGTTAACATTACAAGATTCTCCAGGAAAAAAAACTGGTGGACATTCTGAATCAGCCCCGTTTCCAACATATGGCTTCTGCAATTCACTTAACAGTAGAGCTCAACTGGTAGCGAGGTACGGATTCCATTCATAACGAAGTCGACATTCTTTTTAGCTCTTCTTCATTCTCTGCCATTGCTTTAATTGCAGTTCACCAAGGGGTAGACCATAATGTATTATATATCATTTCTAGTCAAATTCTTAAAGACCGTTTGTTGTGGAAAAGGTTAAACGGAATAATACCATTGTATTCTCCAGGCTGTCTTTGTCCGTGGCTTCTACTGTTGTCACAGTGGTCCCTACAGAACTGTCTTCTGAAATTTCACTCTGATAATCTTGGAATTTAAAAACTGGAGTGCGGTCATTTATGTCCTTCAGCAAAATTGTCACCTGAAACAAATTGATTTTATCAAATTAAATTTTACTATCCACCGGTCTTCAGCCAAGAAAGTAGTACAAGGTCTTAACCTAAAACAAACTTTATTATAGGCCCCACTGGCACAGAGTGACCTCACTGTAGACAAGAATTGGACGATGTCTTAAAAGCCAACGTATCTGTTTTTATAGTTGCTAACCTACATTCTAACAGCAAGTTAACCCTATAGAGTTACTCACCGATGTTTCACCGTACCGAGGCGGGTTCCCGTTGTCTGTAGCCGTCACACGAAGCGTATAGTTTGGTATAATTTCTCTATCAAGAGGCTTCTGAACTACGATGATTCCCTATTTAAAAAAATGAAGTTTTAGTTTTTCAGTATGCCACTTTGGCGGAAAATCAGTGTAGATCTGAAGATAGCGATTTTTGTTCAAAGCTGCAAGTGTGCGACTTACCGAGTCGAAAAATATCTTAAACTGTCCATATGGATCACCAGCCGAGATGTTATACCCAATACGAGAACCAATGGCCGAGTCCTTCTCTGTCGCCTTGACCTGAACCACGTGACCACCGATTGTCTCATTCTCCCAGACCTCCACACTATACATGGGCTTCTCGAATTGGGGATTGTTGTCATTTTCATCTACCAAGGAGATGTTTACATGAAGTGTAGAGCTATTAAGCGGTGGAGTGCCTTGATCCATTGCCACGACATAGAATGTGTAACTAGAGAGGAAGAAAAAATCGGGGATGAAAATGCTGGATGAAATTCCGACGACTATAAATGTGTGTTTATGCGCAAAAAGTTAGTAGCATTTGATTGAAATATCATGTGACTCCTACCAACATAAAGGAGTCTAGGACGCAAATATTGCCTCACTTACTTCCGTTGTTTCTCGTAGTCCAACTTTCCAATTGTTGTTATTACTCCAGTTTTTGCGTTGATTGCAAATTTTCCCTCAGGTGAGTTCCCTGCGTAGGTGAGAACTTTGTTGGTGCCAACATCGGGGTCATCGGCAATCAACGTGTAGACAGGCATGCCGGGAAGTGCGGACTCGCTGATCAGAATGGTTTGCGGTAGTGCGCGGAAGAATGGTGGATTGTCATTGGCATCAGCTATGTTGATATCCACTTCAACACTTGTAGATTTAGGTTCACCTGAAAAAACATGTAAATGACATAAAAAGAACGTTTTGGGGGCAAAACGTGTCTGTTACAACGCTTTTAAACACAGCTTTTAAATTATTTACGGTGGCCAATTTACGTTATCAACTCAGTTGACAATGCTAAATTACCCCGTTATATTCTCCCACCGACGCAGTACCACAGTGTCTTTAGAAATGTACGCCCTTTATTCCTTTATTACACCAAAACCTTTTTACATATACCATAACCCAGAACATTTTACCTTGACTAGATAAACTCTTATTCGTTGGCCTACCTGCACGATCACGAGCAGAAACTGTTAGTTCGTAAGCACTCTTCGTTTCTCTGTCCAACTTTTTAGCAACTGTTATATTTCCAGACGAATCAATGGAGAACACGCTTCCATCGTTACCGGCTACGAAAAACCAACAAAAAATAGAAATGTCAGCTAAAATCAAGGAAGCGCTAGTCCCAAAATGCACCAGCAATTAAACAAAATTGATTCATGATTCACGTTTCCCAATCGGCATAGAATCCCTGAGGTTGTTAGTATTTTGAATGCAAATCAATTTGACCGATCTTTGTGGTCGCCTCTCCGCGTGGTCATGTTAAGCAAAATGTAGCATTTCAAGCAAAGTAAAAGAAATCACCAAGACTCTACGATCCCAATCATATACTGTTTTGGTGGATGTATATGTTTTAACTTTATGCACCGTCGAAATTCTAGTTTTTGTTGTTGTATGGATATTTGAAAGTTGCTCGTATGAAATTATATCGGTGAAGCAACAAAGTCTAATTGGCTGATAAGTTTGCTTTACCTCGTTGCTAGTTGTTTCAGAAGCTTTGAAAACAGATTTTGCAAATCGTTGGTAAAATATCAGACCTGTGATGGAATATACAATCTCCCCAGCCAGTCCTTCATCGCCATCCACCGCATGAACTACGGTAACAACCATGCTGATATCACTGTCCTCTCTGACTTCGGCCAAATACGTAAATTTATCAAACCGAGGAGCATTATCGTTTACGTCAGATACTGTTACGTTAACCAAGGCCGTGGAAGACTGGGGAATGGGGTACCCGTGATCCCTCGCAGTGACAATTAATGAATAGCCATCGGGTTTCGTTTCACGGTCAACTTTGCTTACAATGCTGATAACGCCTAAAATAACAGAAAAAAGCTCTCAAAATATGGTCTCAATAAATCGCAATTATGACTATTGATCCAGGGATATAACTCCGGCGCTATCACGACATTCAGTTGGTGGAAATTTACTCGTAAATTCTGGGTGAAAAAAACCAGTTTCGATGATGGCTGCAATTTCACTTCGTTCAGAGCACGGAAGTGTTTTCGTAACTTGTCGTGATTGAGTGTTGGGATACCACCAATGAACAAATCAATGACCAATCAAAAGAAAGGAAATTAGTAAACGCGTTCCCGTTTGTAAGCTTTACCGAGTTTCTTCTATCTCTAGAAGGTGGCGTGAATTTCTAGACCAGGTGGTAGCCAGGGTAAAGTAAAACCAACTTAAGACAGGATTTCCTACGCTAAAAAAATTTGGCATACTAACCAGATGTCCTGTTGATCGCGAAGACCCCATCCCCTCCCATGAGAGAATATATCAAATCAGCGTTACTGCCGTAATCCGGGTCATCAGCTGATACTCGGATGATAGATGACGACACAGTGGCGTTCTCACTGATGGCCACAAGGTATACAGATTCAGTGAATTGCGGTCGATTGTCATTTTCATCTTCGACATTTACTTCTAAAGACACACTTGTGCTCTGTAGAAAGAAAGATAGATTTCAAAATGACTAAGATGTCGAAAACTAAAATTTCAGCAAGAGCTTGTTCTTCCTTTCGTCCACCTTACACATGTTTGTGAAACAGTCGCAGAGAAGAGAAACCCTTTTCCTTACCGCCTCCAATATCGTCCGCAAATAAAAATATGGAACAATCGTAAGTACATTTTAAAATAAAATAATAAGGGCAACCAGCTAGTCAAAAGAGTAATTTGAAAGTGTCTAAATAATCTAGGGCAATAAATAGAAAATGACAGAAGAATGTGTAAAGAAAAGAAGCAATAAGCTAATTTGGTTATTGTTCACGGGTTATTTCTCCCTCTGTATTTGATAATGTGTCGATTTTATTTCAACAAACGTTTTCTCTTTGTTTCTTTGATAATTAATATTTCAAAAACTTGAAAGTTATACTTGTAATTCATCACTGCTTTTCTAAACTTAGAGTAAGAGACGCATCTCTCATGTAATGGCCCTTAATCCCATTTGACTTTCCTTATGTGGCATGCAGCCAATGAATAAACTCAGTTCCAAACCTTTGCAGCATCTCCTCCCCCGTCAGTAGCCAGCACAGTCAATTGGTATCGAGCCTGCTCTTCTCTGTCCAGTGGTTGAGTTGTGTAAAGGATGCCAGTTGATGAGTTTACAGCAAACTTATCACTGTTCACAGAAAAGGTAACTTGTCCATTTGAGCCATGATCGGCATCTTCGACCGAGAGCTGCATTGGAAAAAAGAAAGGGATATCTTAGGAAGTTGGAAGCGTATAACATGAACAAAAAGACCCTATGGCTTGATGAACAGAGTGAATTGTTTTGTGGGCAACATACTAAATCGGAAATCTCATGATAAAAATTACATGAAAAAAAAGGTAAAAAAAAATTGTTGTATAATAACTGGAAAAAACATTGAAAATTAATTTTTTTGCGGAAGGGTCGTTGGAGTTTCATTACTGATAAATAAGATTATTAAAAAAGTCTCGAATGTAGAAATCTATGATCAGATCTTCCAACGCCTGGAAGCACAGGAATCAAAGAACATTTAAACAAACAAACTTGTTTTTAAAGAAGGTAAGTTTCCAAAGAAACTGTGGACTTGCGTCGGTGTGAGAATATAACAAGGTAATTTAGCATCATCAACTGAGTTGATGAGGTAAATTGGCAACCGTAATGAGTTTCAAAGCTGACGATTCGAGCGTTGGCCCATTGTCATAGCGAATGAAAAAGTTATGTTTGGTAAAACAGTTTGTTTTTCGAGTCCTTGCTTAAGGGTAAGACACCTTAACCCGGCCAGACCAGGGTTCGAGCTAAGAGCCTTTCAATCTGGAGAACAGCACGTCAATCTCTGTTAATCTTATGACTCTCGCAACAAAAAAAACAGCACAAGATACAAATTGAAGGGGTCCAAAACTACCCTTTTTAGTGCTGCAAAAAGCTTTGTATGCCATACAAAGATCGCCCCCTTGGTACTTACCCTGAGAACGCTTTGACCAGATGGTAAATTCTCCAAGACGCCTGCAATGTAAGAGCTCGATATGATGCTCGGGGCGTTATCATTCAAATCTGCAATGTTTATTGTCACTTGCACAGTGCTCTGTAATGACGGCGAACCACCTGAAAGAAAAGCATAGGGTAAACGTGATAAGATCCCTCCCTCTTTACCGTAAATAATATAACAGAGATCATCCACGATCAGATGTGCATTATA